TATCGATCTCTGTAACAACAATATATCGAGATAGCCAGCCCCAGCTCGTATCTACTCCGTGGGCCTGAATAGATTATATCAGATACAGTACACCGATTTGACCAGTCCATGTTCTATCTCTTTACTGCTCAGCACTAGTAGGGATCACCTCTTTCAACGGTTGCAAAAACACTTTGTCCGACCAATGTTACCTTAGGTGCCCCCTGGGACAAACTGGTGTCTGTATCATGACATCATTACAGGCCTACACATATCAGCCGGTCCTCTATCTGACATTCCACATGGGACTAAAGATCGCGGGGTCAGGCTCACTGACTTGTTTGACATATGTCATCGTATCCCAATTGGGTAGATCGATGCTCATGATGTCAGTCCATGCACTGTCTGGTCCAGATTAGATTATTTACAGGCCGCCGTCATATAGCTGAACCGTTACTGAGTTTTGCGTTCAACAACAAACATAGGAAACACACAGGAAAACCCTTTAAGACTTGGCCAACCATAATTCTGACTTTCAATACCTGTTGAGATGTCAGTGTATGTACCTGTAGCCTCACCCGCAGTCAGTCTGGCAGTCTGATGGACAGGTGTGTTACCTGCACGTATAAATAGATACTTGTTTTGTTCCGTTATGTAAAGTAAGTCTGGTCGGAGGAGCGGTCTTAATGAACGTTAATACAACTGCACCTTGTGATGGGTTCAGGTGAGACACGTTCTGGATACTGAGGAAGCTGTTCAAATAAATACTTACGACGTATGATGACACATACCACAAAATGAAACCATTAAAACAAACGTTCTCCATGTCCATCTACCCCTCCCCCACACTTCCAACCAATAGATTAGGACGCCACCACCTCACTCCACCCCACCACACCAACCACCCACCCATCCCTACTCTTCCCAAGCCACCCCTGGCTCACACCAGCCACCCCTACCTAAACCATACCGCATTAGGTCCCCACCACTGCCACCACAATAATAATAATAATATTTCAAACCAACCAAACCCAATCTCGGTGCACTCCTCCTCACACCGGTCCAACCCTGCCTCACCTCCCTCCAACCAACCACCATGTCACCCCCCCACACACCCACTCAAACCAACCAAAGATCCCCCCACCTACTAACTCAGCCCAGACGACTCTCACGGAACTCCAAACCATCCCAGACCAACCCCTCTCCATCCCAGACCAACCAAACGGAACTTCCAAACCATCGACACTCCAAACCATCCCAGACCAACCAAACGGTACAGAAATCCAAGACCACAATGGTTCAGACCAACCAAACGGCACTCCAAACCATCCCAGACCAACCAAACGGAACTCCAAACCACTCCAAACCACCCCAGACCAACCAAACGGAACTCCAAACCATCCAAACGGACGGAACTCCAAACCATCCCCAAAGACCAACCAAACGGAACTCCAAACCATCCCAGACCAACCAAACGGAACTCCAAACCATCCCAGACCAACCAAACGGAACTTCAAACCAATTCACACCCACCAAATGCCGGGTCACCCGAGTTTTCGGTTCATCTTCAATGCTCATTATATGTGGTAAAGGTGAGCTACATCGCGTTGCCCAACTGCACCGGCTGAACACATTGAGGTGCGAGTTCACACACTGTGCGTGCTGCCGAACATACACTGAACTCTCCCGATTTTCTGAGAGATAATTGAATTAGATATTCAGAAAATGGCAACCACTAGCCCTAGGACGAATGTATAAAGTGTACCTATAAGCAAGTGAGCTACATACATGTCTGCATGCATGTGAACTGTTGTGAGCTGTACGTGAGAAAACAAGTGCACCCCTTCAGCAATTCTCTGTAAAGGATTACGGATTAGGGGCAGCAAGTTCAAGCTGCTGTTGCCTTCGAAGCGAAATCAAGTTCGTGTAAAATACCGAGAGAATACTTCAATATTTATCATGTGCGCACGCTGTCGATACGTCCAGCCTCGTTTGTGCATAACCACTTGTCTGTATATGCCGTGCATCATTCTGAGTGAGTGAGTGCGTGGGTGAGTGGAGTGAGTGAGTGAGTGAGAGTGGGTTGGTGGGTGAGTGAGTGGGTTGGTGGGTGAGTGAGTGGGTGAGTGAGGAGGAAGTAAGGAGTGAGTGAGTGAGCACGTGGGTGAGTGAGTGGGTGGGTGAGTAAGTGGGTTGGTGTGTGGGTAAGTGAGTGTGAGTGAGTGGGTTGGTGGGTGAGTGAGTGCGTGGGTGTGTGGGTGAGTGAGTGAGTGTGAGTGGGTTGGTGGATGAGTGAGTGGGTGGGTGAGTGAGTGAGTGAGTGGGTGAGTTTGGTGGGTGGGTGAGTGAGTGAGTGAGTATGTTTGCGTGTTGTGTAGAAGTAAAGCCCCAGAAACTGCCACGCCAGTCGAACTGCCGAACACTTACACCCATGCAACAACGCTCCGCCACATACACTTCTTAACTTCGCCTGACGTGTGACCTGTGCGCTGCACATGGGATAACCGGAAACCAGTGGTTGATGGTATGAAAAAGACCCTGCTAGGGTAAACCGACACGGCAAATGTAAGATAACTGGAGATGTATCGCAAGTACTCACGAAACAATTACAAGAACGGACACACGCCTAGCAATGTACGTACTGACAAAAACACGACTTCGCGGCAGTCTATTGTGGTAGTTTACTGATAACCTGCCTGTACTTCATGATATAAACAATACGGTTACATTCTTACCAAGAAAGGAAACTGCGGTATTGTGTCCCCAGAGACCAGTGCTTGTTCAATCTTCAGACACGGTGGTTTGGGTGATCGCGTTTCACCGCACCTTAATGGTTTGGTACTCACTATACCAATCACCTGATTGTCTGGTGCAGACTTATTTCTCTCTGCCGTCACGTAGCTGGGATATTGCTGAGGGCGACTTTAAACAACAAACCAACAAAAGTGAGAACATCTTAGACATCTATTTTGGGAACATACACAGAGACCTTCTGGAACAGTGGCATACATCTGGTAGCACCCTCACGATATAACGAGGAGTCTTCTTCTACCCACTGGAGCGCGTTATATCGGAAACTGACACGGACGCTGGGTAAGCACGTATACGCCACCGTTCTCACAAACACATACATTCCTTGTAAATGGTAAAAACAACGCTGTCGCAACAATGAAACCACATAATTCATTGTGCAGGACTTCAAACAACGGTATTAAATATTCGTGTCACAGAAGTCGACAATTGTTGCCTGGAGTCTTGTCATTCAACAAGTCATTCTCCACTCTGATATATATGACAATGTTATGGTAATCACAAAACCGTAATGTGATAGAATGCAGATAATTTCACTTGTTTGAGGATGTGAATTTCAATCGTTTCTTCAGCTGCTCTGTTTGACAAACTGCGCTACATATTACGGGATCTTCGGTGGTGCTCTATATAACGGAACCTTCGTTGGTGCTCTATATAACGGGATCTTCGTTGGTGCTCTATATAACGTAACCTTCGTTGGTGCATTGGTGCTCTACGGAACCTTCGCTGGTGCTCTATATAATTCTGTTGGTGCTCTATATAACGGGATCTACGTTGGTGCTCTATATAACGGGATCTTCGTTGGTGCTCTATATAACTGAACCTTCGTTGGTGCTCTATATAACGGAACCTTCGTTGGTGCTCTATATAACGGGATCTTTCGTTGATGCTCTATATAACGGAACCTTCGTTGTGCTCTATATAACGGGATCTTCGTTGGTGCTCTATATAACGGAACCTTCGTTGGTGCTCTATATAACGGAACCTTCGTTGGCGTTCTATATAACGGGATCTTCGTTGGTGCTCTATATAACGGGATCTTTGTCCGTGCTCTATATAACGGGATCTTTGTCCATGCTCTATATGACGGGATCTTTGTGCGTGCTCTATATAACGAGATCTTTGTGCGTGCCCTATATAACGAGATCTTTGTGCGTGCTCTATATAACGAGATCGTGCGTGCTCTATATAACGAGATCTTTGATCTTTGTGCGTGCTCTATATAACGAGATCTTTGTGCGTGCTCTATATAACGAGATCTTTGTGCGTGCTCTATATAACGAGATCTTTGTGCGTGCTCTATATAACGAGATCTTTGTGCGTGCTCTATATAACGAGATCTTTGAGCGTGCTCTATATAACGAGATCTTTGTGCTCTCTATATAACGAGATCTTTGTGCGTGCTCTATATAACGAGATCTTTGAGCGTGCTCTATATAACGAGATCTTTGTGCGTGCTCTATATAACGAGATATAACGAGATCTTTGTGCGTGCTCTATATAACTCTATATATAACGAGATCTTTGTGCGTGCTCTATATAACGAGATCTTTGTGCGTGCTCTATATAACGGGATCTTTGTGCGTGCTCTATATAACGGGATCTTTGTGCGTGCTCTATATATATAGAGATTATTACACGAGCAAGTGTATCATACGACTTATACGAAACGAGTGTGAAATGTTGTTGCCCAAGGGAGAGCGAGGGAAATACACAATTTTGCACGAGTTTCGTATAAGTCGTGTGGCACACTTGCAAGTGTAATAATTTCTTTATTATCCATTTTATTCATGTACATTTGTGCCGTAAGACACTTTAGGCAAGTCTGCCTGCCCTGTTCACTTACGTCACGTTCAATCGTTTAATGACGTCACAGACGTCGAAATACAGAAACAATGGTTGCTAGGCAAAAGTGATATGCGCACATGTGCATATATGATGTATATGACACTGGTTATGTTTCACCTTACGGATAATAAAACATGATCTTCGTGCGTGCTGGTAATAACGGGCTATACGTGCGTGCTGGATATAACAGTATATACCTGTATGTCACGAAATACATCACGCACCTGAATCCACACTAAAATTTGTACTTATTACAGTGGGAAATTTAATTCGGGAAACCAACCCTTCTATTGCGTAACTTAACTAAGGACACTGTTTACCGTATTAATAAAAAACACCTTTTAAAACAATCAACTACTTACATATTTCCATGTCGCCATCCATGGCCATCTTTTTGCATTGTTTCTTCATATAATCCGGACCTGGGGTGGTCCCCTTGTTGCCGGACTGTTGCCCTTGTTGGGCCCCATTGGTGGAGGGCCAGGTACACACAACGGACTTCTCACCCCCAGCAAAATGAACAATCAGCCCCACCCCCACGGCGATTGCAATCACCAACAGCACCATCAAAAAGCCAACTGCCGTGCTGACGTAACACCCTCCATTTTGCTTCTTCTTTCCATTTGTCAGGTTCGACTCACTGCTGTATCTTTGCATGTCGGTGAAGTCCATGCGTTCCACACCATTTGCCATCGTGCCGTTACAGTCCACGGTAAACCAACACGGGCGAACACACGCACAATATTACCACTTAGCTCCAAAGCGCGTCTCTTGGTCTGTACAAGTGTACAAGATGTTAGTACTTATTAACGACGGTCACAGGGGAAGCGGGAACTAGCGAGTCATCCAGGACGTGGTGTATAGGTGATAGTCCCTCTCCGCCGTCAGACAGCTAGTGAGTGCTCACCTGGCAGCCAGGTGTAGCCCGCTCAACAGTGTGTCTGTGTGTTCCTCTTCTCAGTGTGTGGGTTGTGTGTGTCTTTGTGTTTTTCTCATTCTCATTCCTTCCATTTTCTTGTGTTCCTCTCACATTTCTCTATTCCATTCCTTCCATTTATGTGTTCCATTCTCCTTCTGTGTGTGTCCACATTTCCTCTTCTCTGTGTGTGCCTCTTTTTCCTCTGTGCCGTTCCTTCTGTGTCCCTCTGTGCCTTCCTGTGTGTTCCTTGTCTCAGTGTCCATTCCTTGTGTGTGTTCCTCAGTGTGGGGTGTGTGTGTCCGTTCTTCTCTGTGCAGTGTGTGTGTGGTCAGTTCCTTCCTTGTGTGTGTCTTCCTCCAGTCATTATTTCCTTCTTCCTTCTGTGGTGTGATTCTTCCTGTGTGTGATTCCTCAGTGTTTCCTCTTTGTCTCAGTGTGTGGTCCATTCCTCCTTGGTGTGTCTGTGTCTTTGTCCACTGGGGTGTGTCCATTCCATCTGTGTGTGCTTTCCTCTTCTCTGTGTGTTCTTGTGTCACTCAGTGGTCCCTCTCAGTGTCTGTGTGTCTGTGTTCCTTGGCCATTCCTCTTCTTGGGGTATTCTTGTTCCTCAGTTGATTCCTCTGATTGGCTCCCCATTTCTATCCATTCTTCCATTTCCATTCCTCTCCTTCCATTCCACTCTTCCTCCTTCCATTCCTTCGTCCCTTCCTCTTCCTCAATTCCATTCCTCTTCTGTATTCTTTCCTCCTCATTCCCTCTTCGTCCCTCTTCTCTTCCTTGTGTCCCTTCCTCTTCTCTCCGTTTCCTCTCTTCTTTGTCCACTCTTCCTTCCATTCCTCTTCTCCATTCTTCCATTCCTCTTCTCTCCATTATCCACTCTTTTCCATCCTTCCATTCCACTCTTCCTCATTCCTCTCTTTTCCATTCCTCTCATTATTCCCTCTCATCTTCCTCCATTCCATTCCATTATTTCTTTCTCCATTCCATATTTTCTTATTTCCTTTTTCTTTCTGTTTCCTCTTCTCTCTGCATTCCTCTCTGTGCACCACACATTCCTCTTTTCTCAGTATTCTTCCTGTGCAGGCACCACGTTTCCTATTCCTCTAGGTATTCCTCTCTGTGCACCACACATTCCTTTCTTCTCTCAGTATTCCTCTCTGTGCACCACACATTCCTCTTCCTCTGAGCATTCTTCTCTGTCCATCTAACATTACTCTTCTCTCAGTATTCCTCTCTGTGCACCACACATTCCTCTTCTCTCAGTATTCCTCTCTGTGCACCACACATTCCTCTTATCTCAGTATTCCTCTCTGTGCACCACACATTCCTCTTCTCTCAGTATTCCACTGTGTACACCACACATTCCTCTTCTCTCAGAATTCCTCTCTGTGCACCACACATATTCCTCTTCTCTCAGTATTCCTCTCTGTGCACCACACATTCCTCTTCTCTCAGTATTCCTCTCTGTGCACCACACATTCCTCTTCTCTCAGTATTCCTCTCTGTGCACCACACATTCCTCTTCTCTCAGTATTTCTCTGTGTGCACCACACGTTCCTCTTCTCCCAGTATTCCTCTCTGTGCACACACATTTCCTCCTCTCTGTGTATTCCTCTCTGTGCACCACACATTCCTCTTATCTCAGTATTCCTCTCTGTGTAAGACGAATTCTTCGTCGTCTCAGTATTCCTCAAAGTGCACCACACATTCCACTTCTCTCAGTTTTCCTCTCTGTGCACCACACATTCCCATTCTCTCAATATTCCTCTCTGTGCACGACACATTCCTACTTCTCTCAGTATTCCTCTGTGTGCACCTCACATTCTTCTTCTCTTAGTATTCCTCTCTGTGCACGACACATTCCTACTTCTCTCAGTATTCTTCTCTGTGCACAACACATTCCTCTTCTCTCAGTATTCCTCTCTGTGCACAGCACATTCCTACTTCTCTCAGTATTCCTCTCTGTGCACCACCCATTCCTATTCTCTCAGTATTCCTCTCTGTGCCCAACACATTCCTACCTCTCTAGGTATTCGTCTTTGTGCACCACACATTCCTCTTCTCTCAGTATTCCTCTCTGTGCAACAGATATTACTCTTCTCCCAGTATTCCTCTCTGTGCACCACACATTCCTCTTCTCTCATTATTCTTCTCTGTGCACCACACATTACTCTTCTCTCAGTATTCCTCTCTGTGCAGCACGCATTCCTCTTCTCCCATTATTCTTCTGTGTGCACCACACATATTCCTCTTCTTTCAGTATTCCTCTGTGTACACCACACATATTCCTCTTCTTTCAGTATTCCTTTCTCTGCACCACGCATTCCTCTTCTCTCAGTATTCCTCTCTGTGCGACTCACATTCCTGTTATCATGTGGAGGACTGTCACTGTCGCAAGTGAAGCATTGTGTTATCATGTGAAGGACTGTCACTGTGCCCAGTGAAGCATTGTGTTATCATGTGGAGGACTGTCACTGTCCCCAGTGAAGCATTGTGTTATCATGTGGAGGACTGTCACTGTACATGGTGAAGCATTGTGCTATAATGTGGATAAAAGTCACTGTCGCAAGTGAAGCGTTGTGTTATCATGTGGGGGACTGTCACTGTCCCCAGTGAAGCACTGTGTTATCATGTGGAGGACTTTCACTGTCGCAAGTGAAGCGTTGTGCTATAATGTGGGTAAAAGTCACTGTCCTCAGTGAAGCATTGTGTTATCATGTGGTGGACTGTCACTGTACATGGTGAAGCATTGTGTTATCATGTGGAGGACTGCCAATGTACTTGGTGAAGCATTGTGCTATAATGTGGATAAAAGTCACTGTCCTCAGTGAAGCGTTGTGTTCTTGTGGAGGACTGTCACTGTCGCAAGTGAAGCATTGTTTTCTTGTGGAGGATCGTCACTGTCCCCAGTGAAGCATTGTGTTATCATGTGGAGGACTGTCACTGTCCCCAGTGAAGCATTGTGTTATCATGTGGAGGACTGTCACTGTCCCAGTGAACCACTGTGTTATCATGTGGAGGACTGTCAATGTACTTGGTGAAGCATTGTGCTATAATGTGGATAAAAGTCACTGTCCTCAGTGAAGCGTTGTGTTCTTGTGGAGGACTGTCACTGTCGCAAGTGAAGCATTTTTTTCTTGTGGATGACAGTCACTGTCCCCAGTGAAGCATTGTGTTATCATGTGGAGGACAGTCACTGTGCACAGTGAAGCATTGTGTTATCATGTGGAGGACTGTCACTGTCGTAAGTGAAGCATTGTGTTATCATGTGGTGGAGTGTCTTGGAGTCAATTGCCTGTCTTCCCCTCTTCTCGAGGAAGGTGTGTCGATTAGACTGTATGAAGTCTTGTGATGTTGGTAGATGTTTTTTGACTTGAAAATTATTTTATCGGCATTTTAGACGTTGATGATTAAAAAATGAAGCATACAACTTTAAGAATAACAATTCTTGTTTATTGCATAGAGCGACGTTTCCATGTAGTTTGTTTGTAAGAAGATACAACTGGAGAGGTAAGAAGATACAACTGGAGAGGTAAGAAGATACAACTTGAGAGGTAAGAAGATACAACTGGAGAGGTAAGAAGATACAACTTGAGAGGTAAGAAGATACAACTTGAGAGGTAAGAAGATACAACTGGAGAGGTAAGAAGATACAACTGGGAGGTAAGAAGATACAACTGGAGGTAGAAGATACAACTGGAGAGGTAAGAAGATGCAACTGGACGTAAGAAGATACAGCTGGAGGTAAGAAGATACAACTGAGAGGTAGAAGATACAACTGGAGGTAAGAAGATACAACTGAGAGGTAAGAAGATACAACTGGAGAGGTAAGAAGATACAACTGGAGAGGTAAGAAGATACAACTGGAGAGGTAAGAAGATACAACTGGAGAGGTAAGAAGATACAACTGAGAGGTAAGAAGATACAACTGGAGAGGTAAGAAGATACAACTGGAGAGGTAAGAAGATACAACTTGAGAGGTAAGAAGATACAACTGAGAGGTAAGAAGATACAACTGGAGAGGTAAGAAGATACAACTGGAGAGGTAAGAAGATACAACTGGAGAGGTAAGAAGATACAACTGAGAGGTAAGAAGATACAACTGGAGAGGTAAGAAGTAAGAAGATACAACTGGAGAGGTAAGAAGATACAACTTGAGAGGTAAGAAGATACAACTGGAGAGGTAAGAAGATACAACTGGAGAGGTAAGAAGATACAACTGAGAGGTAAGAAGATACAACTGAGAGGTAAGAAGATGCAACTGAGAGGTAAGAAGATACAACTGGAGAGGTAAGAAGATACAACTGGAGAGGTAAGAAGATACAACTGAGAGGTAAGAAGATACAACTGGAGAGGTAAGAAGATACAACTGGAGAGGTAAGAAGATACAACTGGAGAGGTAAGAAGATACAACTGGAGAGGTAAGAAGATACAACTGAGAGGTAAGAAGATACAACTTGAGAGGGTAAGTAAGAAGATACAACTGAGAGGTAAGAAGATACAACTGGAGAAGTAAGAAGATACAACTGGAGAGGTAAGAAGATACAACTGGAGGTAAGAAGATACAACTGAGAGGTAAGAAGATACAACTGGAGAGGTAAGAAGATACAACTGGAGAGGTAAGAAGAACAAGTAGAGGTAAGAAGATACAACTGGAGAGGTAAGAAGATACAACTTGAGAGGTAAGAAGATACAACTTGAGAGGTAAGAAGATACAACTGGAGAGGTAAGAAGTAAGAAGATACAACTGAGAGGTAAGAAGATACAACTGAGAGGTAAGAAGATACAACTGGAGAGGTAAGAAGATACAACTGAGAGGTAAGAAGATACAACTGGAGAGGTAAGAAGATACAACTGAGAGGTAAGAAGATACAACTGGAGAGGTAAGAAGATACAACTGGAGAGGTAAGAAGTAAGAAGATACAACTGAGAGGTAAGAAGATACAACTGGAGAGGTAAGAAGATACAACTGGAGAGGTAAGAAGATACAACTGGAGAGGTAAGAAGA